TGCCAAATTAATATACAACAAAGATCAAGTCATGGCCATACCATTTATCAAGTCTAAAATGAATTATATGCAAACTTCCATTAGTCATTTACTTCCTAAATTAACATAGGACATGCATACAATTGTATATCATTTCAAGATAAATTAAATCACTTGGAAAAATAAATTATAACATCCCCTACCTTAATAGAGAATTGTATCTCTATAATTCAAGGCAACTAAGCTTAAAAATAAAAACTAAACAAGGGTTTTATAGAGGAGAGTGAGAGGAAACTAAAGTATTCCATGTTTAATGGTTTCAGGTGAGTAGAAGGGCACCAAAATTGAAGTCAAAGCTATTGGTCAAGCTTTTCCTTCAATGGAGGCTAAGTTAGAGTTCTTGAGAGGAAAGAGATGAATGAATAAAAATGCAAATCCTAAGTTATAATGGTGGGATTCTCCACTAACTAGGTGCTCTTGCACTACCTCTCACACACACACTAATGCAAGACTAAAGGTGAGTCCTATACTTGTCACCATCCTATGTAAACTTCTAAGGCTTAATATTGAACCCACACTTGTCAACCATCTATGCCAACAAGTGGTCCAATCCTAGGTCAACATATGGGTGAATCTCCACCCACCATGTGTCAAGAGATTAAGTTTCCAAGTGGTTCCACCACAAAACCAACAAGGGGCACCATAGGAATGTGACACTTGTCACATTTTTTGGAAATTACAAAAAGGCCATTTTTGAAAATATCTTTCAAATTAAATTACAAAATGGTCCCTAAGACAAAAAATAATTACTTTTCTTAATCACACTAAAACCCCTCAAGTTTAGGATAATTACCAAAAAGTCATGCTTTCATGCACTTTACAAGAAAAGTAAACATTTAATATGTTTTTCTACAAAAGTAAAAATGTAGATATCATGGAAATGAAATATCATGAATGTATGCCAAGCCGAAATCAAATCCGAGCTCAAAAAGTGAGGTTATGCAAGGAAAAATGGAAAAAAGACTAAAGGACGAAATAGGGAAAAGACGAAAAAAAAAGAATTTCTGAAAAAAGAAAGGAAGGAAAATGACCGGGTCATTACATCAGCGAACTCATGGTTGTCCCTGCAAAGCGCTAAAAAAGATGATTGTGCCAGATGACCAAACAAAGATAGGTTTTTGAAGCATAATGGTGCAGAGCCCAGAAGCATGGCGGGCGCCCACCATGAACTCGCGAGCACCCGCCCAAATGGGCAAAATCTTTAGAAAAGCGCAGGCGCCCACCCGTCGCCCGTGGGCGCCCTCCGGTTGCGCCGCGCTCCTCCATGACAAGCCGCATGCGCCCGCCATGAACCCACGGGCGCCCGCCATGAACCCACGGGCGCCCGCCAAAATGGCCAGTAACCTCCTGAAGCCGCGGGAGCTCGCCAATCTGCAGACAAATGTGCATGGGCTGAAGCATGTATTATGGAGATCACACATTTTGTAAGGTGCTAGAGAGAGAAATATTGAGTTCTTGAGTGTGTGGGTTGTTCTTGACCTTTAGGTGCGAAAATGGAAGGCTTCCTCATCTCTTCTCCTTTCTCTGTTGCATCTATGGGTAACTAACTCCCTTTCTAGGGAGGTGATAAAGCCCTACTTTGTAAGCATGCCTTAGTTTTGGGTTTAATTTGGGGAAGTATATTTGTGGTAGTTTTGCAATCTAGAGCACATTGCATGTTGTAATGGATATAAATCTCTGTAAATGATTATGTTAAAGCTATTGTCTTGTCTTAGATCATAATTTCTCATGATTGTATAGCTTACATTTTTATAATGACAATGAAAATGAGATTGCAAAATGGTTTTAATGGCATGTTTTATGAGAACCTTGTTAGTCCATAGCTCAGGGTCTTCCTTTGATAGATTAATCTTGATTCTTGATGTCATGTGCTTTTATCATTTGATTAAGGGCTTGATAATCTCTAGCTTAATGAGCATGTCTAAGGCTACACCTAGTTTAGGTAGTTCAAGCATGTGAAACTTTGATAGGTTATTATTGCATTTTGATTTAATAAATTTCTTGAAGATAATGTGGCAACCATGTGTAGCTACATATCATGGCCACTTATGTATGTTCTTCTCTCATGTAAATCATTTTTTAGCATGTTCATAGGGTAGGTAGTGGATTCACTTCCCTAGTCCTTTCTACCTAAGTTCCTTTCCTCTTAATTTCTTGCAAATTATTGTTTTATGCAATTGTTAATTCTAGTTATCAAGTGACAAATCAAAAAAAACCTCATACCTCTTTTATCAAACCAAAAGTGATTTTATAAGACCTTGGTTGCCATAAATTAGCAATCCCAGTAGTTTGACTTACCCGTCCAATAGCCCTATTTTACAATGATTTGTGATATTGTAAAAGGGTTGATTATTATTGTGATAGTCGACGAGACCGATCAAGATGTTAATTCAATTTACTTGCATCACAGCCTTCGCCATTGCTGCATCTTGATCAGTCAGAATTGTCTTTGGTGTTTTTCCGGACATCGCTTTCAAAAAAGTATCAAATAACCACATAAAAGAATCTGTTGTCTCATTATACATAAGGGCTACCCCGAATACAGCCGTCTCCCAGTGTTGATTGACATCCAAAAACAATGCAAAGGGACGGTTGCCATATACAAGTTTGTATGTAGTGTTGAAAGTTACAACATCTCCAAAATGGCCATAATCAGTTATCATTTTAGGATCTGCCCAGAATATTTGGTTATCATCTGTTTAGCATCCAATTGTAAGGCATAGAAAAATGAAGGATCATCGTAAGCATAACTGACAAAATAATTGGTCAGCCATGTTACCTCACCATATTAAAGCTTATTCTGTCTACGGGTCCTTATATAATTTTGTTGGTTTAGCTTAATGTATCCAACCAATTCTTTACAACCAGCTTGCCTTGCCATTAACTCATATGAATTACGAGCTGCAATTCCTGAATCTGAAGCCAACTCCACATCAATGGCCTGGACGCTAGAAATACACCTATGAGACGACATCATGTGGGTGGATTCATCAATTATCAATGGATGGTTGTGACTATCTACAAAATTATCAACTAAGTACTTTCCCTTTGCTTCATCGTATTTAATATGCATTCGTGCATCGCAACCAGTTCTTGTTTCAGCTCGCAGAGCCTTTGTATGTTTACGCCTTCCATCCTTCTTCCTAACACCCTCCTTGCAACAAGTAAACAACCTTGTTAAAAGTTTCCCAGTTTTACGGCTATTATTAAAATACTCCTTCCAGATGCTAAATCTAACTCTACCCCATATGCATTATAAAAATCGTATGCCTCTTGTTCCGTATCAAACTCGATTTTAAACCTTGGTTTCCATTGATTCACTTGGGGCTCTATAACTGGAGCATTTGTTGTGTCTTCAATATTTATCATTTCATCTTCCATCGAAAGGAGTAAAATTTTGAACCTACAACATAATTCAAGTAACATAATGTGTCACCTAAGAAATTCAAACCAAATCCAATCCTCTTTCTAACTTGTTGCAAGTATATAAAATAGAAAAGATAATGGAAGAAATTAAATTTAAAATATAGGAACACCAATGACTACTTAAGAGTTGCACATCCAAACTTAGTTTGGTTATATAGCACCAATGAACTGCATAAAACATCTCTTCAAAAAATTTAACATTTATAACTATATAATACAAAAAAGGTAAGAACTGATTTGAGTTGAATAATCCCCATAAGTATATGAAGAGGCAACAACATCCCAACTATGTTCTAACATGCCTCACCAATGAAATATATGCAAAATCACTTTTGTTTTTTTTTTTTTTTTTTCCTTTTCTTTTTAAACTTCATTTCAACATATGAATTGATACACGTATCTTTTAAAATAAAATCTAACATTTATAATTATACAATGCAAAAAAGGGAAGAACTGATTTGAATTGAATAATCCCAAAAAGTGTATGAAGTGGACGTCCCAACATGTCAATCTGAATAATCCCCATCGCTAAGACTACCACATCCCAACTCAGTTCTAACATGCTTAAGCAATGAAATATACGCAACATCCCCCCCCCCCCCTTCCCCCCCTTTTTTTACTTCATTTCAACATATGAATTGATACACGTATTTCTTCAAAATAAAATCTAACTTGTATAACTATGCAATGCAAAAAACGAAAAAATTAATTTGAATTCAATAATCCCAAAAGGTGCATGAAGTGGACGTCCCAACGTATTAATGTGAATAATTCCCATCTCTAAAATTACTACATCCCAACTCTATCCTAACATGCCGATGAAATATATACAAAATCATTTTTTTTTTATTTTTTTATTTTTTAACTTCATATCAACATATGAATTCATACACCTATCTCTTCAAATAAATTATAACATTTTTCATTATTCAATGCAAAAAATAGAATAATTGATTTGAATTGAATATTCCTAAAATGTGTTTGAAGTGGACGTCTCAACATGTCAATTTGAATAATCCCAATCTTTAACACTACAACATCCCAACCCTGTTCTAATATGCCTGAGTAATGAAATTTATATTTCAACATATAAATTGATACATGTATCTCTTCAAAAAAAATTCTAACATTTATAACTATACAAAGCAAAAAAGGAAGAATTAATTTGAATTGAATAATCCAAAAAAGATATTCAGTGCACATGCCAACGTGTCAATGTAATTAATCCCAATTTGCAAGACTACTACATCCCAACCCTGTTCTAACAAGCCTACCCAATGATATATATATACAAAATCCCATATGTTACTTTATTTCACTGTAGGAATTCATACAAGTATTTAGAATCAATAGTCGATCGCAAATATTTACATTGAATAGACTTCAAAAATTAAAATTAAAAAACAAACCCAATATCAATCAGTTGTAAATAATGTGTTGCTCCAAAATCTTTACCAAATTCCTCAACTTTGCCTTCACTTCTAAATAAGAGAATCAACTAGTTTGTAGTTTGTCAAGAAAAATTCAGATCCAAATAACTGGTCAACCAGTTTACAAGTTAATCTTGTATTTTGCGAGAAAAAAAATGAATCACAATATACAATATACTCTGTGATCACTTTTCTCTTGGGTTTGTGGAGAGAGAGAGAGAGAGAGAGAGAGCGCAACTGAACATTTCAGGAGAAGAAAAAATGAAAAAAGCCGGCTTTTGAAAATTGAAATGCAACTCAATTGTTGCCTTTTTTATTGTTATTTGGTGGATCCATACGCATAAGAGACAATATCCAAATATATATACTATTTTTATTTTACTTTCTGTATTTTTATTTTATGTTTTAGTCATTTTACTACTCACCGGCTCGGACAGATCACTGTGGCGGAGACGATTTTGATCCTTCAAACTTTAGAGGCGTCAAATTTTGAGGCCCATAGGGGATGGAAAAAAAAACAAAAGAAGTTCGGGCAAGTTTCAGACGACACAATCTGCTTCGACACTCCGCAGGGCGCAGCCTCCGCTATCGCCTCAGGTGACAAGGTATTTTCATCCTCTCTCTCCTTTTGCATGAATCGATCTTTTATATATATTTCTTTCTTTCGTTCATCTCATCATTTGATATGTTCTAACTTTGGTTCGTTTGATTCTGGCCTTTACCTTTGTTCCAATAGTGAAAAGTAGCTTCCAAACTAGGGTTTTTTTGTGTGTGTGTGACTGTGTGTGATGGCTATCAAAAGCTGAATGAATATATTATGGTTCTCTTAGTATTTTAATAAATGTGTGACTTTCTACATGTGTCTTTCATGGCGATCGAGTACATAATTTATGGCAGGTACTTTTTTTTTTTTTTCCCTCTCCCTAATTCCACTCCAATCTCACAACAGCAGCCACCATACCCCTTTTTCTCATAATTTTTTACATTTTCACATTCAATCCTACGAAAATTAAGGATCCCTTCTAGTGGGTTGAGCCTTTGAGGTAATAATTAAGTTTTTCGATCTCTAAATTATGCTCATACTTAAAAGTGCCAAATTAAGGGTTTTTTTATATTTTATTTTTATATGAAGAAACGTACCATCATTATTGATGTTATTTGAAGTTGGCTCAGCTAGAATTTCAGTTAATAATACTGTCAAAGTACTTGCCATCAGAATGTACAAACACATGGAAATCAAGAGCAGGCTTTAACAAAACAAAAGTTAATGGTTTTTCTATTAATTTGCACAGGCCTACTGTAGCAATGATCAACCAATCACTGCTACTAAAGTTGATTCCTCATCCTGAAATCAAGAAAGGGGTAATTGGCTCCCAAAAAAAAACACAAACACAAAGTGTAGTGTAGTTAATACAAAGAGTGAAAGACAAAACTATATATGATAGTGGATGCCACATATAACCTAAAAGTCCCACTACTTCTTCAGTACTACAAGTTCAGCCTCCTATAATATATATAGTCACCTCATCTCCGCATATTTTTGTCGTCTGTAATCATCAAATTTTAGTAGCTATATAAACAATGAATGTAAAAGAATCTGCAGTTTTCTGTTCTCTAGTAAACTGTTCTCTTCATTTTTTATTTTGTGCCTGTGAAAATTTTGCAGTTTTTAATTGATAGATTTATTGTTATTAGTCAGCTGTCTTATGCAAACTGCACATGCGCACAATTATTTATTGGTGATGATAGATTTATAGTTATTAGTTAGTTGTCTTATGCAAACTGCACAGGCGCACAATTATTTATTGGTGGTGATAAAAATTTATAATTATTGGATAGTTGTCTTAAGCACATTGCACAGGCGCACAATTATTTATTGGTGGTGATAGATTTATAGTTATTAGTTAGTTGTCTTATGCACACTGTACAGACGCACAATTATTTGTTGGTGGTGATAAATTTATAGTTATTAGGTAGTTGTCTTATGCACAATGCACAGGCGCATAATTGTATTAGCTATAGAATTTGAAAATATCGTGTGACAATTTCGCACTCTTATAATTTTTTTTTTTGCGCAGGTGAAACTTAAGGGCCTCACATTTGAAAGTTTGCCTAGGGCCTCTCAAACTATTGGAATCTCAGGGCCGGCCTTGCCTTCGATGGAGCTTGATCTCGATGCGTTCACCAGCGGCGGCGACAACAACTACGATGACGAGGACCACCTCCTCAACGACGATGGCATTCCTCACCGCACCGTGGATGACATACTCAACGAATCCTCCTCCTCTGATGATTCGTCTTCTACTTCATTGTCAGATCGCTCTTACCTTCCACGCCCACGCTTCCCATCAGATTATCGCTCCTCCGTGTCGGTGATGGCATGTAGCCCTAAAACCCTATCATCGGATGATGCTCGAGTTTTTGTTGATGAAAACACTCGTTTAACTTCCTCCTCAGAAGTACACCGATTTAAATTGAGTTCAATTAGTTGGGAAAGGGAAAAGGAAAAGGAAAAGGAAAGGGAAAGTAGGTTGGGTGAGTTTTCCTCCTCCGGCTTGTTGGATCATCGGAGGAATGCTCTGTTTGGCTTTGGCGGCGGCGTTAGATCAAATGCTAAGAAGCCAGGGGCTGCCCTTGCTGCCGCTGCGGCAGCTTCACGTTCCATTCCTACTCCTCACGCCGCTGCAATTAAATCCAGAAGAGCCAATGCTATAGAAGAAGAAGAATTGGCTTCAAAATCATCCCAAGGTGGTGGTATTTCTGAGGATGGAAGGGATGGAGGTGCTGATGATTTTGGCCGATTGGGATTAGGATTAGGATTAGGGTTAGGCCTTCCCAATCCCAATCCCAATCCCAATCCCAATCTTAATGACGATGTTTCTGGCTTAGCAGAAATCAGTCCATTTCAGTCAGATGGCAAATTGGGAGATTCTCAGTCTAATGTTAGTGGGGAATTCGATAGGAATATCGCAGAAGAGAGTTCACATATATATATGGAAGAACATGTATCCGAAAGAGTGGATGATGATGAATCAAGTGTTAGGGGAGCTTACAATTTCGAACAAGTTTCATCCAGTACAACCCATGTTGAACAAAACACCAAGACTTCCTCTTTTAACAAGGAGGAGGAGGATGATTGGAATTTCAATGAGTGCTCCACAATTCCAGTTTCAATTGATGTTATTGAAGATGATAAACAACTAGTTCGGTCTCATGAGCTTCATAGTGATGTCAATTCATTGGTGGTATTTACTGATGATACTAAAACTACTGAACATACTAAGCAAAAGGGGATTCCTTCTCCCCCCGGACCTGGATCTGATAAGGGCAGTAGTAAGGCAGAGGAGGATCTGACAATTCCCATGTATGAAACGCCACAGGATGATCTAGAGCAGAAGGTTGTCATGCCTTATCCCAAAGATCAAGAGGAGCTGAGTCTTGCTGAAGAAGATGACAACGCTGGTTCTTCAACAAGTGATGTAACGGACCTCGTTGAAGAAAGAATTCTTCAATGGGAGAGTGAGAGGAGTAGTAAACGAGCAGAAAAGAGAAGAAGTCGCTCTTCCATGAAGCCCCTTGAATTAGCTGAAGAACTTGAAAAGAAACATTCCTTTACTGGTTTGCACTTGGAAGAGGGTGCTGCTGCTCAGCCAATGAGGCTTGAGGGTGTTCGGAGGGGGTCAACTGCCTTGGGATACTTTGACACTGATGCCAACAACACTATCACACGGACAATCTCATCTCAGGCATTCAGGCGCGATCACGGATCTCCACAAGTCGTGGCTGTTCATCTCAACTTCATTGCGGTGGGAATGTCAAAAGGGTTGGTGGTCATCATGCCCAGTAAATACTCTCCTCATTGTGCTGACAACCTGGATGCCAAGGTGGTTTGTATATTCATTCACTCACCCCACGTTTTCTTGCATATCTCTTTGAGGCATTCCGTCAGACTCATATCTCTATCTAGGTTGCTGCACCTTACCTCATGCTAAAAAAAGGATTACATTCTGACAGTTATGGTTGGTTTACACATCCAAGTGTAAAATTTATTAAATTACAGTACATAAAGCAAACTTTTTGCAATGAGAATTCCTTCTTCTGGATGGAACTCGTTTTTGTTGTTTGTTTATATTACATTTTATAATTTAATGTTGCATTTAACTTAAATTAGCTTATGTCGCCTGTTAAATAAACACCAGATGTTGATGCTTGGACTACAAGGGGATAGGTCTCATGCCCCAGTAACTTCCATGTGCTTCAATCAGCAAGGAGACCTGCTCTTTGCAGGATATGGTGATGGACACATAACTGTTTGGGATGTACAGAAGGGATCTGCAGTGAAAGTTATTTCTGGGTCGCATGAAGCACCAGTAGTACATATGTTATATCTGGGCCAGGATTCTCAAGTTGCTCGTCAGTTTAAAGTAGTTAGTGGCGACAGTAAGGGTTCTGTTTTTCTGATTACTTTTTCTGTGGTTCCCTGGCTCAATAGATTCTCCTTCAAAACGGCGGTATTGCTCTATTCTGTTTAAATTAATGATGCACATTTGAAAGAAACTTTTTATATGTTTGTTTTAGAACTGATAGTGAACAGTGCCATACTAAGATTAAATAACCTTACCGTTGTCCAATGGAACAGTGTCTTCTTGATGGAAAAACAACAGGCAGAGTACTCTGTGCTTCTCCACTTCTGTCTAACGAATGTTCTATTGGTGTGTCATTGTCCTCCCAAGAAAACACTACTGGTTCAACCAGTGCTCTTGGTAGTATGATGGGAGGTGTGGTTGGGGGCGATGCTGGATGGAAATTCTTTGCCGAAGATTCTTCTTTGGTTGAAGAAGGTGTGGTCATATTTGTCACCCATCAAACTGCTCTGGTGGTATGAAGTTTTTTATTGTATGATTTCAAGCACTTTTTAGTTAACACATTATGTCTCTGCGCTGTTTAGATTCTTGTTTGCAACCTGTTAATGCCACATGTCTTTGTTGCAGGCAAGGGTAACTCCTGAAGTGAAAGTCTATTCTCAGCTTCCAAAGCCTGAAGGAGTTCGGGAGGGTTCCATGCCTTACACTGCTTGGAAATGCATGACGCAGTCACGTGATTCTTCCAATGGTATGTTTTAATGGGATTTGTGAAGTTTCATGGTGACAATTTTATACGTTGTGATATTGTTTTAGAAAGTATGCATGTGGAAGCAACAGAAAAATCTTACAGCAATTGTTTGGGGTTTATGAAATTTATATTAATGGTTTTCTAAGATGTAATATTGCTGCAGAAAATTTGCCTGTTGAAGCTTCGGAAAAAGTTTCACTTCTAGCAATTGCTTGGGATCGGAAAGTTCAGGTTTCAAAACTTGTCAAGTCAGAGTTAAAAATATGTGGGAAATGGACCCTTGAAAGCTCAGCAATAGGTGTGGCATGGTTGGATGACCAGGTGTTGTTTGTTTGTTTGTCCTATGTTATGCATACTTAAAATACTTTGGGTTTTAGTCATGCTTCAATGTTATTTTATCTTGTAATTTATTATTGCTATTACTATGTTCGCATCATGAGAAGGGTTCTTTTTCATTTCAAATTTTTTTTTTTTTTTTTTCCAAGTCATTTTCAAAAAATATAAGAGGATAACCAGGATCTTATACCTGTCCAGATGTTGGTGGTTCTTACATTGAATGGACAACTTTGTTTGTTTGCAAAAGATGGAACTGTGATACACCAGACAAATTTTTCTGTGGATGGATTTGGAGGAGATGATCTCATCGCATATCACACCTACTTTATGAATATCTTTGGAAACCCTGAGAAAGCTTATCATAATTGTGTAGCTGTAAGAGGCGCTACTATTTATATACTTGGCCCTATGCATCTTGTTGTTTCTCGGCTCCTCCCATGGAAGGAACGGATTCAAGTTTTGCGGAAAGCCGGTGACTGGATGGGTGCCTTGAACATGGCAATGACACTTTATGATGGTCAAGCCCATGGTGTTATTGACCTTCCTAAAACGCTGGATGCTGTACAGGAGGCCATAATGCCCTACCTCATAGAGTTGCTTTTGTCATACGTAGATGAAGTTTTTTCTTATATATCAGTGGCATTTTGCAACCAAATTGAAAAGCTGGAACAATTGGGTGATTCGAAGAGTACAAGCAGTTCTGTGCATTCAGATATAAAAGAGCAGTTCACTCGTGTTGGTGGCGTTGCTGTTGAATTCTGTGTCCATATCAAGAGAACTGACATCCTTTTTGATGAAATTCTTTCCAAATTTGTGGATGTTAAACATAAAGGTACATCTCTTTTTTATTTTTTATTTTTTAATTGAATGCTTTCACTGCATACTAGTCAATTGCTTTATGCTTTTATTATTGAATGCCCTCACTACATACTTGTCTATGGTCAATTTTTTAAATTGATCATTGAAATTAGAAAGTAGGTAAACCCAAAAGAGCACAAATTGATGATAAAGCTCTTTTGAAGTTGGCTTTCTTTGTTGGGGAAGTGGTGAAGAAAGTTATCATAACCATTGACAATTTGGAGAATGTGCAAGAGGGTAAGGGAGAGTGTAATTCATCTTCTCCCACAATGTCACTTTGCTAGGGATGTGTAATCATCATCATCCTTACTCTGGTTCAATTCGAATGGGGTTGGCCACATGGATTCTCTTTTTCCTCTCTTCTTTCTTATAACTTAACCAAGTTAACTTTTGTATGCCTCTTTACCTTGTACCACTAATTAACTAGTGATCCTTTCTATTGGCAAATTTTCTGGCCTATTGTCTGTGATCATACCATTATGCCTACTTTCTATTATTTTATCACTAATAGGTGTTATACCTAATCTTTCTCTAGTATGTTGATTGCTAATACTATCCCTCCGAGTTACTCCTATAATCCATATCAATATTCTCATTTCAACAACGTGAATGTATTGTTCTTAATTAATTTTCAATGTCAATTCTAGTCTATGCATGATAACTGCTCTAGTAGATGTTTTATAGAATTTTTCTTGTAACTATTCTATATTATCTTATCACATAAGGTCCCACTAGCTTGTCTCCACTTTGATCTACTTATTATATCATCTGAAAGTGTTACCTTTACAATTTCATGGATTTTTTCATTGTTAAATTTACATTTTATATATTCTGTTTTAGTTCTTTACACTGCCGGTCCCAAGCCCGGATAAAGGAGGAGCTCAGGTAGCTTGACAGCCGGCGTAAAACTTTGTCATGACCAATTTGAACATGAATATTCTGTTTTAGTTCTTTGACCCTAATATATTTCTCCATGTTTTGATCTTTTTCTTAGTAAGTGTCTAACGAAACTATATCAGCAACAACCACCATGCATCCTGGATGTGTATATTTTTCTTGATTCCGTTTAAAACTATTGTATGTAGTTATGGGTCAGTTTTCATCCTAGGTGCAAACATATTTTCATAGGAAAATTAGCTACAACCATTCAGCTATTCTTATGGATGTCTTGTGCATCTTGTACTCCTTGTTTGGGTTGCTGAAGATGATGAAAGGAGTGGATGGCCTTTTGGCTTCTTGGTAAGAGACATGCATTCCACTGAATGTTAGGTTCTCCATACGTCTCATTGGAGCATATTTAGAAAAGGAATATAATTCACTTCATAGGGAGGAGTATCCCCTCAAAGGTTGAAAAATTTTCAATTCATCAATTGTTGTGTTTATTTATTTATTTTTTACTTAATGAGGCAACATATGATCATAAATTCTTTAGCTAAGTTTTTGGGGGTGGATTATGTAACCTTTTGATTTGTTTTTGTATGTTTTGCGTATCTGTTTTTGATGCTATTTACTGAACTTTAATTTTTGAAAAAAGTAAAAAAAAAAAAATGAAGAGGAAGAAGAAGAAGAAGAAGAAGAAGAAGAAGAAGAAGAAGAAGAAAATTTTCTAAATAAGTTAAAATTTTCTGATCTTGCAAATGATTTCCTACAATATCAAGAGTGAAGAGATTCTTGATAGATAATTTTGAGGAGAGTAAACAATTGTGATTCTCTTACCAAGTATTTTCTTATGCCCAGCCTTTTCTTCATTGCCATTTGAGATTGTATTTATTATTAGTAGGACACAAATAAGAATGTAGCTCTCTTTTGAACCTTATGCATGATTTCCATATTGATACTTTATAGGAGAAGACAATGGGTTCCAGGATTGTTGTGTCTTTAATTCAACTTGTTTCGGCTGTGATTTGATTTTATAAAACATAAGGATTTTCTGCATTCTCTCTCTCTCTCCCTCCCCTCCCCTCCCCTCCCCCCCCCCCCCCCCCCCCCCCCCATGCTGGTTTGCCTCTAATCCATTTTTGGGTCAAAAATAATCCCCATAGGGTGGAATCACCCTACAAAACACATGCATCGTGCTAGTCCAGTTAGAGTCAAATTTGGGATATCTGGGTCCTATGCCATCACCACAACCAACTCAGCAACCCATGCGGGTTAGCTTTGTTACACATCTCTCTTTTTTTTTGTCTATAAATATGGTATTTTTACTCTTTAGGATACAGTGAAAAATGATTTAAAATATTTTTTGTTGTTACATATGGTGATTTATCTTTTTCCCGCTGCTAGACACATTTTTGGAGCTTTTGGAGCCATATATATTGAAAGACATGCTTGGATCTCTACCGCCTGAGGTATTGCTTACGTTGATGTATTAACCTTATCGATAGCCAAGTTATAAGTGTTCTCTCTCTCTCTCTCTCTCTCTCTCTCTTCCCTTTTGTTTTGTTATTTATTTTTTCTATTCTTATTTCTTTGGCGAAGATAATGCAAGCGCTGGTAGAGCATTATAGCACAAAAGGTTGGCTGCAACGAGTTGAACAATGTGTTCTCCATATGGACATCTCTTCCTTGGATTTTAATCAGGTTGTATTGTATTCCCAGTTTACTGATTTAATCAATTATTATGTTAATTGTTAAAGAAGAATATCAATTACTATAAAACATGCTTGAATGACATATAATCATTCTTATCCATGACGCATGGACATGGGTGTGAGACCTGGTTATGACATGATACCAACTTGTCAACACGACAAATTCTTGTAAAACAAGAGAAGCAAAAAAGGGATGTGGATTTGGCTAGGATACAATAATACTTGAGTTGTTATCTGTATATATATTAAGATTTATATTCATTATTTTTAAGAAAAGGGCCACTGCTTGGTGGATTGTAAAAATTCGGGTTGTAAAGGATCAGAATGCAAATTTGAGTTTGAGAAAAACCTCTTTGTGTAAATAATACCAATGTTAGGTCGTTAAATAGTTCCATCCTTCCAGCATACTGGACCACCCTGAATAATGGCTTTCTTCTTTGTCGTTTTTTTATATTATAAGAATCTATGTAATATTGAAGTTGGCATGAAGCTTGTGTTGCACGGGCATGGGCCAGGCAGCCACTTAACAGAAAAAAGAAAAGAAAAAAGACATGGGCTTCCTTTAGAAGTATCCGTGCTTCTAATCTTAGTACCATTCTTTATATTATTGTTCATGATTAGTTAATAGTTATTCTAATATGTTTTGTAGGTTGTGCGTTTATGCCGGGAGCACAGATTGTATGGTGCACTGGTATATTTGTTTAACAGGGGTTTAGATGATTTTAAGGCACCTCTAGAGGAGCTCCTGGTTGTTTTACGAAATAGCCCCAGGGAAAGTGCCGCTGTTCTTGGGTATGTTGTATTACTGTTATCAAGTATTTTAATACTGTGAGTCTGTGATAGTGGAATGCGTCTTTGTGTTGCCTTATTTGTTTGTTTATGCTGTATAATTATTTTTCCATATTAATAAGTTTCTCACTTGATTTGTAAAATTTTGCTTTCTCATATAATTTTACATGACATCAACCATCTCACATCCTTTGAATGATTTCCCCCCTCCCCCTCTCTCCTTTAGTAGGTGCCTCAATAGGGACTTGAACCCTCAACCTTCCACGTGGGAGGATGAGGAGATCACATCTTTTAACTTGGGAGAATTTTTTATGATACATATCTGTCTGTGAGGAACCACCTAAACTGTTCTGAATTGAGGCACTGTCATTTTAGTCAAACTGAATATCTGCTGACGAGTGCACCACTTTGGGCTTAAAAATTACAATCTGAACTATGATGGTTAGGCTATCAAGGTGGCTCTTTGGGTGGACCTCTGGCACTCTGCCCTTAGATAACATACACTTGAATTTTTGTGCATTTATTATGTGTCAGATTTTCTTTCCCTGAACTATAAAGCTGCGAGGAATTTACAGAACAAATGACTTTAAATAAACTATACTGATAGTTATTGTGGCACAACTTTAAATTGGTCGCTTATTGTCATGGATTTTGGAAACAGGTACCGGATGCTTGTATACCTGAAGTACTGTTTTTCAGGTCTTGCTTTTCCTCCAGGTATTGCTCTAAGATACTGTTGCTGGATCTTTATCCAATTGAATTATTGCAAGAAGTTTTCTACAACTTAACTTGTCATGAAGATGCTAATGTGGATTCTGAAATTAATTGTTTGATGATGTTTGTTTTGTGAGTGAGCATGATTATTACTTAGTTTATTACGTGAGAAAGGGAATTATCAGAATAAGTAATATGTGATCTATCATCTATCTGACATAGGAGTATTGAGTACCTGCATCCATTCTTTACCTTATTAATGCACTTGAACTATAATAAATACTGGATGCTTTTATCTCTTTCAAATATGGTATAACCTCTCAACTTTCATTGGTAGCATTATCTTGTATGTAAAGATGTAGTGCTAATGTCTTATAGTACTTTTTTGCATATTTTGTTGCATTAATGTTATAAGACGCCTTTGTTACTGTTGCCTTGGTGCCAGCCAATGCGATATATAGAGCTCATTAATAAGAATATTAGGCAAGGCCCAGAGGGGACAACCCATGGACACATTATGTGAATAAGCTATATGTTGACTAAAGAGATGATCAAATCAAGAGTAAAGTATAAGAAGATGAAGAAGAGAAGAAAGAGGAGGTGAGAAAAAGAGAGAGATGGAGAGAGAGAGAATGAAATAATACTTTCATCCTTCCACCACATTCTATTTATACTAACAAGTTTCAGAAATTACACATAAGCACCCACATTATATAAGTAATAACAAATAAGCCCCTGACAATACTCCTCCTCAAGTTGGTGCAAAGATATCTATCATACCCAGCTTGACATATTTTGCAAGGAAGTCTTGCTCACACCCTTAGTCAAAACATTAGCAATCAACCTGATCATGTGTGTTGACGTATAGAGTACAAATCAGCCCAATAAGAAGTTTTTCCTTGTTGAAGTGTCGATCGACTTCAATGTGCTTTGCCCTGTCACGTTGAACTAGATTGTGGGCAATGCTAATAGCAACCTTGTTGTCACAATACAACTTCATTGACTCACGAACAGGATAACCCAACTCATCCAACGTAGTTTGTGGCCATAACAACTCATAGACTCCATGTGCCGTGGATCTGAACTCAACCTCTATACTAGATCTAGCTACTACAAATTGTTTCTTGCTTCGCCATGAAACAGGATAGCCTCCAACAAATGTGCAATATCCTGAAGTAGATCGTCAATTTGTCATAGACCTTGCCCAATCATCGGCTTCAACACGCAAGTGGCTATGATGACCAAACAATATCCATTTACCAGGTGAACCCTTGAGGTAGCGAAGAACATGATGAGTTGCCTCAAGGTGAGGTGTACGTGGAGCATGCATAAACTGACTACTCACACTAACAACGTAGGAAATATCCAGGCGCGTGAGAGATAGGTAAATCAGTCTCCTAACCAATCGTTGAAATCTTCCTACATCATCTAATGGGTCTCCATCCACATCATTAAGCCTTTGGTTTTACTCAATGGGAATACCAATAGGTCTAGCTCCAAGCCTGCCGGTTTCAACCAACAAATCTAACCCATATTTCCGTTGAGAAATGAATAACCCTTTCTTAGATCTGCACAACTCGATGGCAAGAAAGTATCTCAATGATCCGACAAAGGGTTTGTTCTTCAGGTGGATGAGCAGAGCACGATCCTTCGTGAAACGACACTTCAATCTTGCCTTGTTGGGAGATTCGACAGAGATGTGGGCAGTTTGGAAGGAATTGAGGAGTGGGTTGCAAAGATTTGGAAGATTTTGTGTGGAGTTAGGGTTTCTAATCTACCGGATGGGTTATTGCTTTTTCGATTTCCATTGGAGAAGGAAGCTCAGAGGGTGTTAAGGTGGGGGAAAAATCTTGGGGTGATGCACAGTTGTTCATTGATCTGTGGTGCTACAGAGTGGGGTGTTTTGAGCTGAGGAAGATGACGAGGCAGAAAAGGATTGCACTGTTTGGCCTTCCCCTCCATCTTTGGTGCCGGAAACTTTTCGAATCTATAGGGGATTTATGTGGTGGTTTTAGGGAGGTTGAGGTCTCTGAGAGTGAGACGGAAAGGATAGTCATCACGGTGGACGATGGCGGGGTCATTCCGGAGTTCGTGATCGTTGAAGACAGGTCTTGGGCTTTCAAGATCTCAGTGATAGAGGAGATCGCTCCTTTTGTGGTGGCGAAATCCATGGTATCCCTGAATATAGAGAAGAAAGGACGTGTGCTTCGCAGATCCGAGGCTGGTTCAGTCCGTTCGGTGAGTTTGGTTAAATCAAAGAAAGATGGATGTTAGCAAGGTCAGGGACGAGGCGACCCGTACGTGCGGAAGGCGAGTGGGGAAGGGGTGGAATGGAGGCGCCCACGTGGAGGGGATAGGTCTTTAAAGATTTCGGATAAGGTTTTGGATGGGGTTAGGCCGGTGGGACGTGGGCCGCTCGCTTAATGGACTCAGCAATAGGCCAGTCAAGTCTTATGCACAGAAGGTGCGGACTAGGCCCAAGTCCACTGATGTGTATGGGCCAAATAACTTGGTCTAGCAGAAGAGAGATAGGGACGTTTCTTGGGGCCTAATAAGAGCCTGTCCATTAGAGTTTTGGGCCTGTGTTCGAAGGAAGAGGAGATGAGATCCAGAGCAAATGGGTCGGGCCAAGCCCAGGTTTAGAATTCCTCATCGGTCTTTGGTGATGATAATAGACATTGGTCACGACCGGAGAAAGAGAATTGGGTTAGAGCCAGTTCATATAGCAATCGTAGGGGGAAAAAGTTTCGGCATGGTAGTTGCTGTGTGCATATGGTTTCGGAGAATCGGTTTCGGTCTCTGCAATCCGGGTTTTCTGATGATGGTGATCCCACAGTTAGAGATGGTAGGCGTTGGTCAAGGAAGGAGAAACAGAAACGGGTTTGCCCAAATGAAAGCCAACCTGGTATGTCTTCTTTCCCTTACTCTTGGACCCTTCTTCCTGCTCCTCCTTCTTCTTCTACCCTCCTTGTGAGGTGTTGAGGAGGGATATGGGGGAGGAGGTTGACCGGAAGTCGGAGAGAACTGGGGTGTTGTCGTTTGTGGTAGAAGTGGATTCGGAGGGGATTGTGATGGATGTAGAGATAGAGGATGAGGTGGGACACTTGAGTAGTCACACACTTAGTATTCTGATGAGTTCTTCTTCCAAGATCTTAAGGGAGAATGCAACAGAGATGGCAGTGCCGGTTGGTGTGGATGGAGTTACGGTTTGTGTGGGACGAGATTCAAAGTTTCAGTTAAGTCAGGAGGCTGCGTCAGTACTGGTGAAGGAATTGAGGATATATAAAGGGTTGAAGGGATTGAACCGTTTGCTAGACTTTGGCTCAGAAACAGTAGGGGATGATTCTGAAGGGGATTTTGGTACACCTTTGGCTTGTAACGAGATTGAAGTTTCGGCTGATGATGGGCATGACAGACTGGGGGGAGGGGGCAATGACAGGAATGTTATGGAGATGGTTCCATGAGAGGATACTACTAGTTTGGAGATGCAACCATTATGTGTTTTACGGCTGGAAGGGAGGAGGGATTTCTCTGCATTAGGTTATGACGACAAAGGGGTGGAGTGGGTGAAGGATAACATTGATACTGTGAGTAGTATGTTGGGAGTTTCTTTTCAGCCAGAAGAGGAGCAGGCTCGTTTGGTGATGCATTTAATTGTGGAGGGAAAGAATGTGGAGGATGTTGGGAGTTTGAACCGAACAGTTAGAAAGAAGAAGAGGTTATCTCCGTGGAGAGGGGGAAGGGAGATCCGAGGCCTTATTTCTGATATTAATTATGAGGGGAAGAATGGGGCGGGGAGGGAGAGGAGTAGTGAGAGGGGAAGAGGGAGAAGGGGAGGGGACATTTACTGGTTTTTAATGAAGTGCTGCATTATTTCGTGGAATGTCCGTGGGCTTAATGATTCGGACAAAAGAAAGGTGGTCAGATTGGCAGTGAGGAAGTGGGGTGTTCATGTCGTATGTTTACAGGAGACAAAGATGGCGTCCATCTCAAAAAGGGTGGTTAGGAGTTTGTGGGGTGGGAGGTTTATTGAATGGGAGGCGTTGGATGCTGTTGGGACATCTGGGGGTATTTTGGTGATGTGGGATAAAAGATGGGTGTCAAAAGCGGATGTGTGGAGAGGGAGATTCTCCATTTCTTGCAGTTTTACTATGGAAGAGGATGGGTTCCGTTGGGTGTTCTCGGGTGTTTATGGTTCAGTGGATGATGGGGAGAGGCATCTTCTCTGGGAGGAGTTGGGATTTGTTAAGGAATAACGGTGTCTTCCATGGTTTGTGGGGCGTGATTTTAATGTGGTTAGATCCCTTTTGGAGAGATCAATAGGAGGAAGATGGGCTCCGACTATGGTACAGTTTTCAGAATTCATTGCTGGCCATCATCTTCATGGTTTGCCTTTGGAGGGAGCTACTTTCACATGGGTTAATAGCAGAGAGTCTCTTGCCCTTTCACGTCTGGATAGATTTCTCATTTCAGGAGATTGGGAAAGAAGTTTCCGGATGTGACTCAGGCGGCCTTGGCTAGACCGACATCGGATCATATTCCTTTTTTTTTTTTTTTTGATAAGTAAGATTTTATTAAAAACGCTCAAAACATCGGATCATATTCCTTTGGTGTTGGATTGTGGTGGGTTAAGGTCTAGAATTACTCCTTTTCATTTCGAAAACATGTGGCTTGTGGCGGATGATTTCCAGGGGTGCGTGAGGTCTTGGTGGGAAGGAAGTGTGGTGTTTGGGCACCCGAATTTTATTATTGCTAGAAAGCTTGGGGTGTTGAAGGAGGAGTTGAAAAGGTGGAATAAGGAGGTTTTTGGGAATCTCGAGTGGAGGAAGAGTAGGGCTTTGGTGGAGATTGCAGAGATTGATCGCCGGGAAGGCATGGGTGGCATTGATGATGATCAGAGAAGTAGGAGAGCGGCGTGCCAGGCTGAGATTGCTGTGTCGGAGGAGATTTCGTGGAGACGGAAATCCAGAGCCTTATAGCTTAAGGAGGGGGATAGGAACACT